GATTCTTTCATTAGCGCCTATTTTATTTTTTTTATCACTTGCTCCGATACTTTATTTGCTATACGAGTAAATACATGTACATGTAGTAAACCTAGGATGTATATTGCATGGTAATATATGGATATAAATAGTGCTCCCTTATGTTTAAGATAATTTTGGTTCGAGAACTTCGTTTTGACACGAGAAAGAAAAGATGGACTTCGTTATTGGCAAGTACAACAAGTATAGAAAAGATAAAATGACAAGAAAGGAATATATCAGATGTGTGGCATATAAATTCCCGGCAAGATAATAATTCATTGTACTAGTATTACATTTTTATGGATTTTATTGTGGTGCTTTGAAATGCTGTAAATAGAATTTTATTCCGTGATTTTAGTGAATGTAAACAGAGTGCACAAATATCTTTTAAATTGACTTATCCTGCTCGAAATTCTACTCCCATCTCCACTTTGTGAGCAGGAGACAACAGTTATATACATGTTATAATTGACAATTCATAACATATGTATAACTGGCTAACGGAAGAGGTTTACATGTATATGATAAATAAAAAAAACCTTTCACCTATAATTTACCTGTACACAATCGGTGCAAATGAAAGACAAAATCGGCGCAAGTGAAAGAAAAAAAGTGAAATGCAGATCGGCGCAAATGCAAAAAGCCGAGTTCATAATTTATATGTTTATTATTATTTTTATTAGTCTAAGAACGGAGGTTACAGATAGTGTAGTATCTTTTGTGTCCATTTGTGTTTAATTTCCACTAGGTATCAGTGCGACGCTTAATTCCACTTTTCTTGGAAGACGTAGTTTTAAGCGTACACCATGTTGGAGTCCGTGAAAAACGCGAAATAGGACGTTATAATTTGACGTTTTTTTTTCATGGCTAGAAACAACGTCATAGAGCTTTTATGTCACTATCAGGTTGCGTTAGTTGATGCGCATCAACAATAGGCTGTTTGGTCTTTAATCCTTTAATTAGGATTTAGTGACCAATATCAAAATGAATCATAGCTAATACAACGACAAGATAAGAAATATGTCTTTTTGTTGAAAATTTACATACTTGTGCTCTATTCATGACGTTACAAATAGCACTCGTGCTGATTTTCCATGAAAATTCAATGAAAAGGGTAAATTTCCATTCATTTTTTGGAAAGGAAACACTGAGCTCATGTGTTGACAAAAAAGATCTTTTAACATAATGTTTGTTATGACATTTTACATGTCTGACGATATTTGTTGAAGCCTGTGTTCTATATCCCTATGCCGTAATTTGGTTGAAATCCAGATGAAATTTTGCAATCTCTATTTGTGACCAAATTGGGATGTCAAAATCAAGGCTTTAAAATAAAACATTTTTTATCTTGTAATAATTTAATTTTGTATGTAACACGTCTTCTGATTGGCTGAAAGTGTTTTGTCTATCAGCTCATAGACATAATTTTGTCATGTGACTGTGACGTCAACATTTTTATCAACATTTACTCCTTTTTAGAATTAAATTATAAGGAACGACTGTAATATTTTTTCTGTCTTTTTGAAATAACCCCAAAAATGTGGTGCACACTTTTAAATAACCTGCTACCTGGTTATTCAGTGTGCACCACATATTTGATGTTATTTCTTCATAAAAATATTAGTCATTCCTTAAACATTGAACCTAATAATCATAATAATAATAATCATAAAGCAATGGATTTGTAAATACATGACATAGTATAGCATGATCACTGTATTTGGCCCTTACCGAACTCACTCATTTCATGGGATGGATGGATAGATGGACAGATGGGTAAAACAAAATAGGAACAGGGGTATCATAAATATCACTTTTCCATAGAAATAAAAACCTTGATTCTTCTGGGGTTGGCTTGAGCTTGCAGTTGTAGAAAATATTGGCATTTTTAAATAAACTTTCTGACGCGTTAATGATAAATGGAAGTTCCCTTCTACATCAGTTACATTAAACAACTCTTTCCCAATATGAATTATAAATTCACCAGATCTTGTTCTCAAATTATACAAATATTCCACCTGGCAGGGGGACATTGTATTACATAAGCAATACCTCAAGAATGTGTGTTAATAAATAAATTGAAATTCTTCCAATAAATCCTTAAAAATAAACTTACTTTTTACATTTTTTAACTTCCCTTACTATATTTGTCATTTGATTATTCCCCATGTGCTAAACAAATATGACTTAAAAAGTAAAAAGACAATGTATTCATAAATGTTATTATGAACACGTGTATTTGTTTTGACATTTATCATGTGACTAAGGTCTACTCAGTAATTGAGTATTTCACGAGTTAAAATAAGTGGAAAGAATTGTAACGGTAAATCTATGTTTAATTACGGTATGTGTTATTCAAGCTTGCTTCAGACAGTTGAGTCTGGTCATTTCTGATCCCCCACCTATCCACTTATATTTTATCAAAGTTTTATTTGATGTATTCATACTTGTATGTCTGATTTAAGTGGACATTTTTAAGATTTTACATGCTTGAATTGATTGGTAACACAAATTATTTTTTTTGTAAGTTGTGTATTGATTAATGACATGTTGAGGCAGCGGCTAAGGACATGCAGACAAATAAGAACATTGGTGCATTGTAAATAAAATTGATAAAAGTTGCTTAACTGTACTGTCCAGAGGAGCTGATAACCCAAATAGTGTTTGGTTTTATTTATAAATATTTCATGTTCATTTGAGTAGACAGACAAGAACATAATAGAAGTTGTTGGTTATTTAAGGTGCATGAGATGAATTTCAGTCTATTTATAGTTGGGAAGTTGTGGGTCATTTAAGGTTTGTAAGAAGAATTTCAGTCTATTTATAGTTACTCTGACCTGGTCATATTCAAATCAGTGTTTTCCCATCTCCATCCACTCCAGACAAGTTTAATTTTGAAACCAAATATTTTCCTGAATTTCATATAAAAGCTTTTGTCACCTTAACCAGAGGTCTTTTCTTTCACATGACATTATCACCCAAATTTTAAATGCAATTAAATAATAGCTTCAATTAACTGTTGACACATGAGATGTGTCTCCTCTGTATAATTTAGATAGTAAAGTGCAATGTTGAAATTAAAAGCAAAACTTAAACATGTAAAATATGCAAAATATTCAAAGTCAATGAACCTTGATTGCATGTACAGGACCAAAAAATTTCCATTCGAATAAGATATGTCAATGTTAATACAACTGCATACCAAATATCCTTGACTTATCATTAGTGGTTCCCACCTAGTCACAAAATTTAACATGTAAACTATGCAAAAGTTTTAAAGTCAATAGACCATGACTGAGGGGGCAGGACAATTAATCTCCATGGTAATGAGACGGGCCAATGCTTATACAACTGCATACCAAATATCATTGACTTACCATTTGTTGTTACCCTTTAATTGACCTAAGATCATAAACTTTTAACATTTAAACAAAGCAATAGATTTCAAGTCAGTAAACCATGACTGAGGTTGAGGTCTAAATAATCTCTATGGAATTCAGATACAAGTGCCAACATATATCACTACAAACTGCTCAGAGTCTGAAAAGACCATTTTTTTGTTACTGGTCGAGCACAGATTTTACTTGATAAGACTCAACATAATCTTGACAGTACTTAAATGTACTTAACTGTGCTCGACTTTGGTCTCAACTTTATTTAATAAGTCTGATTGAGTACTTGGTAATCTTGGTATAGTCTGAAATGGTCTCAACAAATGCTCGACCTGTCTACTCACTCACTCTGACTCAGTCTTGACCTTTAACTTTAGTCTGGACTGGTCTAAATCAGCCCATCTAACTCAATTATATATTGATCTTACAAAATTCCAGGTTATTTGGTAGTTTGGTTTATTGCTGTCAAATTAAAGGATTTAATAAATGGGTAGAAAAAAGCTAGAATTTTCAGTTTTGATTAAATTCAGATAGTCACCTTTAATTATTTCTATAACTTTTTCAAATCAACTTGGATTTTCATAAAACTCTACAGCTATCTCAATTATACATTGATCTTACAGAATGCCAGGTTGTTTGGTAGTTTGGTGTATTGCTGTCAAATTTAAAGATTTAATCAACAGGTAAAAAAGCTAGAATTTTTAGTTTGGACTGAATTCAGATAGTCACCTTTAAAATTTGATATAACTTTTTCAAATCAACTTGGATTTTCATAAACCTATACAGCTATCTCAGTTATATATTGACCTTACTGGTCAAGCACAAAATATGGTCTTTTCAGACTCTGAGCAGTTTGTACTATTACAAAAAATTATTGACTGCAGCCGCCAGAAAACAGCACACCTAAGTCTCTCTGTTTGAAGTGAGACAAAATCATTACTGAAATGGAAATGCTGATACCCACACAGGCACATAACATGTATAAAATAAGCCATGTTACATAAATTATAAATCACACAGCAGAAATAAAACATTGTTTATTAATAAAAAAAAATATGGCACATTCCTTGAGCAAAATAGCTCTGCCATTATCTGAAATGATTTTCACTAATGAAGATACATAACAGTAAAAAAAAAAAAAAAAATGCTCCGCAGGGCGCAGCTTGATACGACCGCAGAGGTCGAACCCTGAACAGTTGGGGCAAGTATGGACACAATATTCAAGCTTGATACAGCTCTGAATTTGGATTGTGATTAAATATTTGACACAGCATAGGTTTCTGACACAGAATGAATGTGGTCTAAGAACTTAAAAATTTTAAATTGGACATTCACCTATTATGGTCCAATATCCAAAATCTAAATACATGGTTAGATTCAGCATATCAAGGAACCCCAAGAATTCAATTTTTGATGAAATCAAACAAAGTTTAATTTTGGACCCTTATGACCTCAATGTGGACAAAGTTGATAACGGGGACCAAAAATCAAAAATCTAAATGCATGGTTAGATTCAGCATATCAAAGAACCCCATATATTCAATTTTTGTTAAAATCAAACTAAGTTTAATTTTGGACCCTTTGGACCTTAATGTAGACCAATTTGAAAACGGAACCAAAAATTAAGAATCTAAATACATGGTTAGATTCGGCATATCAAAGAACCCAATAATTAAATTTTTGATGAAATCAAACAAAGTTAAATTTTGGACCCTTTGGACCTCAATGTGGACCAATTTAAAAACGGGGCCCAAAATCCAATAAACTGCTTCGCTGAGCGCAGCTTGATACGCCCGCAGAGGTCCAACCCTGAACAGTTGGGGCAAAAATGGACACAATATTCAAGCTTGATACAGGTCTGAATTTGGATTGTAATTAAATATTTGACATATTATAGGTTTCTGAATAAATCTAGTCAAAGAACTTGAAACTGGTTATATGAATTGAATTTATATTCAATTAAAGATTTCTTGCTGTTGTGTAATACACTGTGCTGTTGCGCAATACTTAGTAAATCTGTTTTCAGACTATAAACAAATAAAGTTCAATTCATTCTCAATGTCATATTAGAAATTTATGAAAATCAAAAGGGAGCTTACATCAATATATATAAACAATTTACCAGTTTCATGAGAATTGCTGACAGCATTTTTGAGTTATTTTCTGAAAACTGGAAAATCCCCCCTTTTTTAATGAATAAAACCCCACAACTCAGAAATGTAAAATGTAAAATTTATAAAATTCTAAACGGAGCTTACATCAATAGATATAAACAATTCACCAAAGTTTCATGAGAACTGCTGAAAGCATTTTTGAGTTTTTGTCCAAAAACTGGAAAATCCCCCTTTTTTCTGAATAAAACCCTGTAACTCAGAAACGTAAAATCTAAAATTTATAAAAATCAAAAGGGAGCTCATGTCAATAGATATAAACAATTCACCACAATTTCTTGAATGTTAGTGAAAGCATTCTTGAGTTATTGTCCGAAAACTGGAAAATCCCCCTTTTTTCAATGAATAAAACCCCATAACTCAGAAACATAAAATCTAAAATTTATAAAAAACGAAAGGGAGCTCACGTCAATAGATATAAACAATTCACCAAAGTTTTATGCAAATTGGTTAAAGCGTTTTTGAGTAAATGACATACAGACGGACAACGGTATACCATAATACGTCCCATAAACGGGCGTATAAAAACTTAATACACGATTAGATTCAGCATATTAAAGAACCCCAAGAATTCAAGAATAAAACCCCATTGAAATTGATCAAGAAATAAGCAATTTATACGAAGTATCTTCTTTGGCACAATACGGTGCAATTGAATATTTCTTGCTATTGCGCAATACTGTACAATTGACAATTTCTTGCTATTGCGCAATATTGTGCTATTGGATATTTCTTGCTATTGCGCAATACTGTGCAATTGAAGATTTCTTGTTATTGCGCAATACTGTGCAATTGAAAATTTCTTACTATTGCACAATACTTATTATATAATAATTTACACATCCTGTTTGGTGTGTATCTCCTACCATATCATTATTATTTGCTTTTAAATATTAATCAGAAATAACCAACTTACAATGGAAAATTTTAAAAGAAAAAAAAAAAGGAAAAAAAGAAAAAAAAGAAAAAAAAAAAATCCCCCCCCCCCCAAATTTTTTGAACCCCCTTATGATTCATCACCCCCAAACTCAATCCCAGCCTTCCCTTTGTGGTATGGTACCTTGCAGTACAATTTCAGAGAGATCCATACACTTGAACACAAGTTATTGTCTGGAAACTAGAAAAATGCTTATTTTTGGCCCCTTTTTGGCCCCCAATTCCTAAACGTTTCGGGCAATTACCCCCAAACTCAATTCCAGCTTTCCCTTTGTGATATGGAACCTTGTAGTACAATTTCAGAAATATCCAAACACTTACACACAAGTTATTGTCATGAAACTAGAAAAATGCTTGTTTTTTGCCCCTTTTTTGGCCCCTAATTCCTAAAATTTTGAGGCAATTACCCCCAAAATCAATTACAGCCTTCCCTTTGTGATAAGGAACCTTGTGGTACAATGTCAGAGAGATCCATACACTTACACACATGTTATTGTCTGGAAGTTACAAAAATGCTTATTGTTGGCCCCTTTTTGGCCCCTAATTCCTTAACTGTTGGTACCATAACCCCCAAAATCAATCCCAACCTTCCTTTCGTGGTATTGAACCTTATGGTAAAATTTCATGGAGATCCATTCACTAAAACTAAAGTTAGAGTGCGAAAACCAATGTGTTTTTTGGAGTGTGATGATGCCGAACAATAATTTTTTATTAAATCCAGAATGAATTCCAACATGTTACCCTGTACATCATACAGAGAAAAGAAACAAAATCTGGTTTCCAACTGTTGTATCAAAATGTTGCTATAGCCCTTGTAAATGGCCACCAAAAAGCATCCATTTTGTAATTTATAACTCTTGCAAGAAATGTCAAAATTTCAACTGAGTATTCTATGAAAGAACTGTCTTCTGCCATTTAAGTTGATTTATGAGATGATAAGCATAACCAAGATGATTATAAAAAAAAACTAACTTCAAAACGACTTACTTTAATTTGATAATATTCAATATTTGCATAAATAATTAATTGCGCAGGGGACACTATGATGAACCATACACTGAAGCCTAAATATGCTGAATATTAAATGAGTTTTTATATCATGAACCATCTCATCATCTTTCACTTTCCATTCATGATATTGTACATGTTCTTAATAACCATTGAGCAAATATCTAACTAATCATCAACCACTTTTCAGTAGTGTGTAGGCAATATACTGGTTGTGATTCAATAATCTATTGTATCATATAAATCACATAAAACAAAATTAATACTAATTTTCATTCAGTTTCACTAACCATTGAAAGATTTACGAAAAATTATTATTATTTTTTTTTTTTTTTAGATATTTTTCCTTCATGTAATTGCCTCAAAGTTTGATTTTTATGAAACTGGAAATGTTATGCCAAAGCGTTGAATCTCTTAATCAATCTAATTTATATAATTTATTTTGTTTAAACTGATAGATGATAAAAGCCAACTTGCTTAGGCAAAACTTTGGGAAATCTAAGGTATAATAACCTAAATCTAGTATATTACTTGAACAATTTCTATTTTAACAACTATCAATTTAGAAATATGCTTCCATAATGTTCCAAATAGAATTGAAATCCCGAAAGAAAATGCCCCAATCGGTTGACAGGTGAATAGTTTTTCCTGTAAAGAATATGTTTCCCAGCGTTACATAAAAAATTACTAATCTGTATTAAACAAGTAATATTTTTGGTCATATTTTTTATAAATTAAAATTTGTATTCTGCTATGAACATTTATTAATGCATTGTACTACATGTATTTATTGTAATTTGAATACATCCTCTTTTAACCAACTATCAAATATTAAATCTAGGAAGGAGGGGTGAGAATTTGACACTGTTTTGCATCATAGGGTCATTGGATATTGATCCAATCACACATGCCCAGTATAATTATCTCAGTTTTCAAGAGGACTATTTCAGAATGGCCAAATAAATATTTGGTACTATTTTGGCTTAACTGTCATAAATAATTTAATCTGGTTGATCAATATTTGATGAATGTGAAAAAATAAACAAGAGTGCACAAGCTTAAATGTCTCGCCTGCTCTACTGACCATTGATTTTATGTTGATAGTCCTATATATAAAGTTTTACTACAAGTATCACATAAACTCAACATGATCCAAGAAAATGAGGTTACGGTCAAACAAACCAAGCCAGAAATACATGTACACCTTACAATCATTCCATACACTGAATATAGTCGACCTATTGCTTATACTATACAAGAAACAGACCAAACCATGAAAATTTTATATTGACCAATGAACCATGATAATGAGGTCAAGGTCAGATGAACCTGCCAGACAGACATGTACATCTTAAAATCTTTCAATGCATCAAATATAGTTGACCTATTACTTATAGTATCTAAGAAATAAATTTAACCTGGAAAACTTAACACTGACCAATGAACCATGAAAATTAGGTCAAGGTTTGATGATACATGCCAGAAAGACAAAATCAAAAGGGAGCTCCCGTCAATAGATATAAACCAGTCACCAAAGTTTCATGAAAATTGCTCAAAGCACTTAGAGTTATTGTCCGAAACCTGGAAAATCCCCCTTTTTTAAAGAATAAAACCCCATAACTCTGATACGTGAAATCGAAAATTTATAAAAATCGAAAGGGAGCTCCATCAATAGATATAAACAATTCACCAAAGTTTCATGAAAACTGCTCAAAGCATTTTTGAGTTATTGTCTGAAAACTGGAAAATCCCCCTTTTTTAATGAATAAAATCTCATAACTTGGAAACGTAATATTTAAAATTTATAAAAATCGAAAGAGAGCTCACATCAATTATAATAAACAATTCATCTAAGTTTCATGAAAACTGCTCAGTGTTTTTGAGTTTTCTCCGACATGTTGACGACAGACGAACGAACAGACTTACGGACAATGGTATACCATAGTACCTCCCGTAAAAGGGCGTATAAAAAACTTACTTCTAAACCACTGAACCATAGAAATGACATCAAGGTCAGATAACTCCTGTCAGTTGGACTTGTACACATTACAATCATTCCATATACCAAATATAGTATGCTTATAGTATCCGAGATATGGACTTGACCACGAAAACTTAAACTTTTGCACTGATCCATGAAATAAGGTCTAGGTCAAGTGAAAACGGTCTGACAGGCATGAGGACCTTGCAAGGTACACACATGCCAAATAAAGTTATCCTATTACTCATAATAAGAGAGAAATTAACATTACAAAAAATATTAACTTTTTTTTCAAGAAAACTACCACTAAACTGATCCATCAAAAAGGAGGTCAAGGACAATGGACATATGACAGATGGAAACTTCATAACATAAGGCGTCTGTATACAAAGTATGAAGCATCCAGGGCTTCTGCCTTCTGAAATGTTATGCTTTTAAGTAGTAGGTTAACGCTGCCGCTGCAAGATCACTATCCCTATGCCTGGCTTTCTGCGACAGTAGTCTCAGGCTTGACAAAAATAGCTCTTAAAAAAGTAAATTATATTATGTACAGATAACGTATTATTATGTACAGATATTTGATTGAACTACCTGCCATTCTTTGGAATTTTAATCCACATACAATATATTTCAAAAATTTGAAAATATTAAGACTACAAAATTTGTTTCATTTAATTATGTTTTTATAGAACTTTAAATAGCAACATAGAGGAACCTTCAGTAACTTCTTTAAAGTATCATACAAAATCTAACTATAGCATGTATAGCATCTTCGTATTTTCTAAAAGCATATACATGTATGTTGTCAACATTTCACTTTGTTGTACTAACACTTGCATTAATTAAATACATCAAATTTCCAGAAAAACTTAGAATTGTAACCCCGACACTATAGAAAATCTCGATCCACTAATATTAGTTTTTCAAGCACTTTGTTTAAGGCAGTCACTGTGGGTGAAGATTTAAAATGTTCTAAAAAACTCTTTCCCTCCTCCAAACACTGTGTTAGTTGTGGGTCCAGTGGAATACATCCTGTAAAAATAATTAATATTTAATAAAATCTACCAGTAACTAAATTTGCAAGGGTAGGACTGGTTAACAGTAAATTCATAGTTGAATAACACCTACTAATCACAGCGTACATGCACATTTTAAATGACTCAGTTCGTTTTTTAAACCAAGAATGACATTTATATATTAAATATAAAAATAAGGAGATGTGGTATGATGGCCAACCAGACAACTATTCTCCAAAGTTCAAATTAATAGGATGTAAGCAATTATAGGCAACTGTACAGCCTTCAATAATGAGAAAAACCCATACTGTATAGTCACCTATAAAAGGCCCCTCCAAAAAAAATTATTTTGAAAAATCCTGAAGAAACAAGTATGAACCCCCCCCCCCCCCTTCCCCTCAAAAAAAGGAGTGGGGCCGGTAAGACCCCTTTTTGGCCCCATAACTATAGCATTTCAAAAATTTGTTAAAAATGTAAACTTTCAGCTATTTATTTGAAAGAAGAATTCTTTTGTTACATGAATATGTGCTGTTTTTGACAATACAATGCACATGCATCAGGTACTAGCATCATTAATTCATTCAAAATTACTGAAATCTTCACAATTTTAGCATTTGTGCTTATTTTTAGACGGTTTTTGTCTAAAATGGAAGTGGCCGCACTTGTGTTCAGTCATAATACTTAAATATATGTTGTATTTGATGATGATACATAACATATATAAAGGTTGAGACCGAACACAAATGCGGCCACTTCCATTTTAGACAAAAACCATCTGAAAAGTGACGTTTTCTGGCATATTTGATAGATTTTTCATCTTTAAGCTTGAATTTAGGCGTCTTTAATGACCAAATCAGTTCAAATCTTTTACATAAACTAATTGAATCGACTGAAGTAGACACTTAAGTGTTTAAAAAATGTCAAAAATCATTCATCAGATGTACTTCAACTATTAGGCCAAAATAAGCCTTTACTGGAACTTCTCCTTTGTCCCCCTCAAAATTATTTTTTTTGAAATAATAAGAAATTTTGAAAAATCATGAAGAAAAAAGTATGAACCCCCCCCCCCCCCCCAAAAAAAAATTTTTTTTCAAAAAATTTGAAATTTCAAAAAGTTTGAAGAAAAAAAATATGAACCCCAAAAAAAATTTGAAAAAAATCCCCCCAAAACTTTTTGAACCCCCCCCCCCCCCCCCAAATCTTTTTTGAAATTTTGAAGATTATATTCTTTTCTGGAAAAATGTACGATTTCAGAGAGTTCCATAAACTTTAACACAAGTTATTGTCTGGAAACTAGAATCAAAGCACTGTAAGCGCTGTAGGCAGTTAACCAAAAACCAAAGCAAACGTAATTATGAAAACTGTGGCAGTGTTGCTTCAATTTTTTTTTAAGATTTGAAAGAACAAACATTAAACATTCGTATATTGTACATTTATGTTCATTAAATGAATTGATTATTAAGGCAAATTAATTAATATTTCATCAAGGTTTTCAAAAGTAACTCATATATCAATGTAAATGACCCCCATCTTCACCCCCAAGTGCATGATATTACTCCATACCAAGTTTGGAATAAAGTGACAGGTGATTATAAAACAGTTGGTCAAACATTCTCGGGCTTTACACTGCTTGAAAGATTTATATGTTTTCTTTAAAATGAGCCATAAATGAAAATTATTATAGGCCCAGAAATAATTTTATAAATAATTAAAGTAAATTCAATTAACCTAGACTCATTTTTTAATAAAATTTTATAATAAACAAGAAATAATTGTAACAGGATGCCGTCACGAAGTCTCCCAAACAAAGCCCCCATAATTCATCATTCCCATGGTCTCCTGACATTGGGCAAAGTCCAGTTCATATTGGTTTGGTCTAGTAAAGTGATATGCATATGTGACACCTAGGAGATTGACCCTGTATGTCATTCAAATCTTTTTGAAATGATGAACAGGAATAAATATGGTTTAGGTGTAGGTATCTCGACTGTTTACAAGTTCTCAAACAGGAGGGGGTGGGGTGACCCCAGGGACTCCCCCTATATTTCATTTGATTTGTTATATTGTCCCATACATGAATACATATGGTTTAAGGGTGGGGATCTCGACCATTTCCAAGTTCTCAAACAGGAGGGGGTGGGGTGACCTGAGGAACTCCCCATATATTTCATTTGATTTTTTATATTGTCCCATACATGAATATATATGGTTTAGGGGTGGGGATCTTGACCGTTTACAAGTTCTCAAACAGGAAGGGGTGGGGTGACCCCAGGGACTCCCCCTATATTTCATTTGATTTGTTTTATTGTCCCATACATGAATATATATGGTTAAGGGGTGGGGATCTCGACCGTTTACAAGTTCTCAAACAGGAGGGGGTGGGGTGACCTGAGGAACTCCCCCTATATTTCATTTGATTTGTTTTATTGTCCCATACATGAATATATATGGTTTAGGAGTGGGGATCTCGACCATTTCCAAGTTCTCAAACAGAAGGGGGTGGAGTGACCTGAGGAACTCCCCATATATTTCATTTTATTTTCTATATTGTACCATACATGAATATATATGGTTAAGGGGTGGGGATCTTGACTGTTTACAAGTTCTCAAACAGCAGGGGGTGGGGTGTCCCTAAGGACTCCCCCTATATTTCATTTGATTTGTTTTATTGTCCCATACATGCATGTATATGGTTTAGGCGTGGGGATCTCAACCATTTCCAAGTTCTCAAACAGGAGGGGTTGGGGCGACCCCAGGGACTCCGCATGTATTTCATTTGATTTGTTATATTGTCCCATACATGAATATATATGGTTTAGGGGTGGGGATCTCGACCGTTTACAAGTTCTCAAACAGGAGGGGGGTGACCCTAGGGACTCCCCCTATATTTCATTTGATTTGTTTTATTGTCCCATACACGAATATATATGGTTTAGGGGTGGGGATCTCGACCAATTCCAAGTTCTCAAACAGGAGGGGGTGGGACAACACCGGGGACTCCCCCAAATTATTTTCATTTGATTTCTTTTATTGTCCCATACAAGTATATATATTGTTTAGGGGTGGGGATCTCGACGGTTTACAAGATAAAAGTACATTTTCAAATTGAAGGGGGTTGGGATGACCCCCAGGGACTCACCCTATATTTTGGTTGATTTTTTTTTTTTTGTCCTGTTCTCATTACTGAAGACTGCATGTGTCTATCACTTACTGTTTTCGAGAAATAGTCATTTGAAAATTCAAAAAAAAAAATCCCATAGGGTTCTATAGTAAACCCCTCCCTCCTTCGACTGTTTTCGAGTAATAGTCATTTGAAAATTAAAAAAAAAAAATCCCATAGGGTTCTAAAGTAAACCCCTCCCTTCTTCATAAAATAACAACAACCTTATTTGGCAAGATAAGTTAAAAATAATAATTACCGCCCACTTATATAACTTTATTTACTCTATCATAGAGATTTGTTGTACAAACAATATTCCTGCGCATTTTGCCATTTGGGAAATATAAACGTCTTGTAATTACCGATTTTCGGCGATGAAATATTTCATACAATTGTTCTTTGACATCGTAGCCAAAAGCACAGGGGGATAATAAACTACATACGGATTTCTATTGAGCCCTACTTCCTATGTGCAACTTCAAAAGTTTTGGGTAGTTCGACGATCATGTAAGGTTTTTCTGGTCATATTTTTTGTATTCCAGAAATAAAAGTATTAAAAAAATGTCCAATTAGTTATAAATAACATAAAGTCAGCTAGATGATAACAATGGCACGTATATCAGCATTTATTGGGTAGAACACAAATCTAGGGTGCTCGCATTAGGCAGCTTAACTGCCTAAAAATGCTTGTTTTTGGCCCCTAATTTCTATAAGTTTGGGGCA